AAGGCAGATTTGGCAAATAAGAGAGTCGTTGAGTACGATGAAGCTCAAACATATGCGGATGAAAATGGCCTTCTTTTCATGGAAACATCTGCTAAGACGGCAATGAATGTTAATGACATATTCCTTGCAATTGGTAAGCTGTGTATATTTTTATTTCTTTCTGTTAAAATTTAATTGCACATTATCCGCAGATAATTGCATAAAAATTATACTACAAAAGTAATATTAGTGTTTTCAAATTACGTAAATATTACATATATAAATTTTTTGTTTTATTTTATAATAAGTATACTATCGCAGAAATGTGATTCTATCTCATGTTACGCGTTATCGCTATTCAAAATACATAGTAACTGCAACTCTACATCTGTTGGTGCTACATTACATTGAATAGCAAAAAACAACAGTTTCGAAAAATGCTTATGATTATAAAACACTTTGACACAGTTTTGCTATAACAAGATATTTCTTTTTGTAGCTAAAAAGCTTCCTAAAAATGAACAATCAGGAAGCGCAAGTACGAGTGGTCAAGGCCGTCGACTAGTCGAGTCAGATGGGCAAAAGGCAGCAACCGGCAATTGCTGCAAGTGATTATCTAAATCCGTATGTGTCTCACAATATATTCGTATCTATATTTTTACATTACATATATTTGAATGTATATATATATAATATATATATATATATATATATACTATCTTTAAAATTGATTGAATTGATGAGAGACATTATTCCATTGATGAAAAACCAGCAAATATTTGATATATGCCTAATGAATATGTTACGAATCAAATGTTCAGTGTAATAACATGTTCACATATTTTTATAATATTAGAATATATAATAAAACGAAAGCGCGATCAAAAGAAGAATGGGGAAACGGGAATATATCGATTTGATATTGCGTAGAAGTAGACATTTGCACTTTAAAATGCTTTTAGCAGATTTTTGTATTAGTATGTCATAATGGGGTATCTGAGTAGTCATGCAATTTTATAGAGTATATTTCTTGTTATGTTTATGATATTTTTTATAGTGTATAATTCGTCTCGACTTTTGCCTCCTTTATATTTACTGTAACAGTAGATATATGAAGAAAGGCTGGAAATAGACAAAGAAGTAAAGAGCGCGGATTGAAAGTCCAATATATATGACCATCAAATTTATAACATGCAGGATATAAATGTAACTGTAATATTGCTGTATAATATTTAGCTAAACATTGACAATTTCTTGTAATTAAAAGGTAGTAAGTTGCACACAAATGTGTGTATGTGTGTGTGTGAAGAAAACGATTCTAAATTTTACGTTTCCATGTTAATAATATATCTATATATATAATATTTCTCAGAAATTTTTCTTTTAGCAGTATATTTGTTTAAAACATACAAACTTTAACACAAACATCCAATATAATGATGTTGAATATATGCTTAAGTTAATTCTTTAGCTAAAATCTTTTATTTTATTTACACAATTATTACATTGATATGTCGCTATTAAAGTAAATCTTTATTTTTCTCAATATATTTCTACTAGATTTAAATAGCATTTACATTACTGTGACAGCTTTATTAAAGTCAGAGTTTTTCATTATTTGCGCATGAAAAATTGTAATCTATGAGATACATCTAAAAGCATAATACTTTTTTATTAGTTTTTTCATTTTATCTGCTATTCTCATATATCTGTTCATCCGTGATTAATTTAAGTGTATTATTCAAAATTTCGTGAAAAAGAGAAGTTATTTAATATAAGGCACTAGATATCCCTCTTAGGCACATTGTAGTGTTTATATGACACTCTATATGTTTATAGATATTATAAATTTGTAAAAGTTTCCTTTCTTTTCGGAGGATACTAATTTCTGACTGATAAAGGTGCTACAAGAATATATGTGCATGATATTCGTTGTGCAAGCTTGTGGAAATGTTTTTTGTAATTTACGATAATGCTCCCATTTCCTGTGCAATGATTCGTATCATTGTATATCTGAAATATTATTTTGTAATAATAATAGGTAAAGCTGTTTAAAATTGTTACAAAAAAAGAAAATTCTCAGGGTGCAATCCTTTTCTTCAATCTCTAATATTGTTATATCCTAATTATATATTTATTCTTATTTTCGCTATGATATAAAACTATCTAGATATATTCTGTTAAAAATCACAGGTAGGTTCTATTATTCCTGTATAGAGAAGTTTTTAATATTCACCAGGTAAATAAAGTGTTTTACAGTAGTTACAGTCTTGTGCATTGTAGATATTCAACAATTGTAATACAGTACATTATGGAATTGTACATTGTGACTCATTCTCCTTATCATTTATATACATGTAACGAAAAAGACGATCATTGCATACGTTCGTAAGCTGTACATTTTATATTACACTTCAAAAATAATTATAACAATGATATACACGTTACTTAAATATTTATTACCGTTTTATTTCTACGGAGGAAATTATTTATTTCTCAGAGATTCTTGATTAAATTAGGTAAGTTGGAAGTAAATTGTTATATCTGAGAAAGTTTACATTTCAACACATTATCGACACAATTTTGTATCGTTTATCTGTAAAACTTTTAATTAAGTTAAATTACTCGATGTTGTTTCCAATTATATTAATTAAATTTGCATTCATTTAGAATAATATTGCAGTAGACGCGCTATCTATTTCTGATTACAGATGTGTACTATAATCTACAAAGATAAGTGCACTACGAGTGTGCTACGATGAATTTGAGAAGAAGACACACACAACAGGGGAAAAATAGAGTGGGAAGTGAACTGTGTGGGACATTCGCAAACATTTTGCTTGAGTGATTGACTAAGAGTCTGCGTCTCAATGTAATCGACGATATATCATCTATTTTGAGTATCAGATCTATTAAGAGGTGGTAAAAGAAAGATCCCATTTGTAATTCTAGTAGTGTAATGGGCGGTGTTCGTTATAAATATATAAATATATATAAATACACATTATATATTATAAATCATATAGATAAATATGATTTATATATGTAATAAGTATATAAATGCTAATGATAATAAATAATAATATTAATAATGATAATTAATAAAAATATAATACACCGTTAATATTACCGTAAATACCGATAAAGTAACAGTACATTTAAAATATACAACATCTAATGAATTTTTGGCACGCGGAGATCTTGTAAGATAGGAGAGGCTATTCCTGCTGCTATTACTATGTATTTCCTTTCTTAGTTTGTAACACGTATAACAATTTCTTGCTCTAAAATATATTGTATATTAATTTTATTGACAACTCATAATGAATTATAAATGATTACACGGCAAAAAAAAATAAACTTGTGAATATTACGACGGTTCTGATGATTGCCCATTTATTTGACCGGAACTTTGTAGAAAACATAAACATTTATACAGAAAATTAGACAATTGCTTCTTTTTAAGATATTAGATCTTTTGTTAATATGGATTTATTTATATATTCACTCGGCATTATATAACATTAATATGCTTCTGTGTTCAATAGATATGTTACCAACATATTTAGAATCATTATAAAATATTGGAATATATGATATAGAAATGAATGACGTTTGTGTAAGAGTGAGTCTGATAAAACGAATGCGATAATATATATAAAATGCAAGAAGTTCAGAAAATTTTATCCAGGAAAATATATTCTATGCCTGAGTTGGAAAATAATATAAATTATGACGATATATGCGGACCTTGGAAACTTGACAGTGTACCATTGGATAGTCCGTGCCATTTATCTTTTAAATTGATAACGTCTGAAGATGTAACTTATATGAGAAAGCAAAAAGATCGAAAATCAATTTTGCTATTTCTCGGTAAAAATTTGAACTCTTTAATTATTTATTAAATTATTAGAATTGCCAATAATATATGATAAAATATAAATAATAATTTTCAGAAAAAAAATTTTTACCTGATATACTATATAAAGAGGAAAACAAAGAAATACTTGTAAAACTTCTATGGCAAATTTTTAGATTTTTCAAGTAAAATTTTCAACATATATTAGAGTAATCTATTTTTTTCTTACATAACTTGTATGGTAATTCATATTTAGCTTAAAAAACCAATATTATTTTTCATTTAAAAAAGAAATAAAGGTAGTTTTGTAGTTCCAAGAATAAATCAAACATAAATAAAAGAAAATACCTACATGAGCTTCCGCGATTTAAAGAATATGTTTATGATTCTCAAGCAATTAGAATGTACAAATTGAGTGTATGTACTTATCTTCTGTACTGAAAAGGACTCATTCAGAAATATTTGCAGTTAACTTCGTTAGTAAATACATTTTAATTGATTGCGAATTATATCTTGTCACTTTACAAATATATTATTTCCGCATCATTTATCAACAACTGCGGAGACTTATATAAGCATTCTACTTATATTTGATCACTTTTCGTATTTAGGAAGAATCTATTTACTGACGAACAAATTGCGATAGTTATGAAATTAATGCTTTTAACTCACAATTTGTATCTTGCAAACTATTGGAATACAGTTGAGGAAACATATAAATATTTTTTTGAGCGCGTTCTTGAATGTACCATTATGGTAATTATGTTAATCGAGCATTTTACTAATATTAATTTTTATCGAATATATTTTCTTTCATATTAAAATATTTCAGGATCCACCAAAATGCGCAGAAATATTTACGCCAGATCAGGCTAGAATAATACTTGAATTTTTTCGTAAAATATATTTGGAAAATATTATATTATTGCATCTCGTTTGTATGACTCATTACTGTATCGTTATCAGATTTTGACAAAAATGAATGAACATTGATATGATTGCACACATTACACAAGAAATGTCTGTTTATTTTTAAAAAAGGATACATTTGACATATATGTAGAAAATTATATTTGCATAAAAATTATGTTTGTTAAAAATTATGTAAAAAAAGACGCAACACAAACTAACGTAAGTCACGTTATAAATTTCTGTTTTTCGTATTCATACTTCAAATTTCTATCTCATACTTTTTCTTCAGTCTTTATCAAAATAAATCTTCTATGAATCTTCTTCATTTGCTTGTAGACGAGGATTGATAACCGTAATCACGATTGTCTTCCAATGAAGTGTCAGATTCCGTTCCATTTTTAAAATTTTCATTCCACCATCGATTATTTTTTCGAACCTCATTTATTAAATGTTCCATTTTGGGAAACCACCATGAATTGCCACATGTTGATGTACATCGACCAATTTTGATCGGTTTCGTTGAATATTTCTAAAGGCACATAAATGTAAATTAAATATCATAAAACTAAGATTTCCTTTTTAATTAGCACTAACCTTTCGTGAATTTGTACAGTTCAAACTTGAAGTTAAATCAGTATCCGTAGTCTGGTACGCAATTGATGGTGATATATAACCGTTGATATGCACTTTTCTACAACTTCTGCTAGCTAACTTATGCGTTCTTTTCAGTTTTTGCGCTAATAAATTAATTCGTTTCATCTTCCGGATTTTAATTAATAAAGTTCTAGAAATAAATTTTATTTAATATTAAATATAGAAAAGACAGATCTTGATTTTAGATAATCACAGAAAACATATTTCGATTTATTATATACTTACTTTTTTTCAAATACAAGCTGCATTATAAGTTGTTGTTTATTTTTCAACTTTTTCGACAGAGTTTCATTGTATTTTTTCTGTTGCTCTATATAGTTACGGATGCATGAAACTATATATTGAGATTCTTTGCAGAGTTTTGCTCTACTCATTGCTGTATCAGTTAAATCAGCTGACATGTTTGTTAAAGATTGATCCTTCAAGTGACATTCCTTTTTTAACTCGTGCAAAGATTTGCGCATATCTTGTAACTAATAAACATAATAGTTTGGAATTATAATTAATAATATATATGATTAAAATAGGAAAAATTAATGTGTACTGATTATGATATACAGTGCAAAAAAATATTCAAATTAATTATTCATTGTTCAAGAGATCGAAAAGAGTATCATACCTCAGTTATGTATGTAGAATTATCTCGTTCAAGTGAAATTTTCTGTTGATCAAGATGATAATTATCTTTCATGTATTCCTGCAATTGTTGAATCAAATCACGATTTACATTTTCGACCTGTGTTAATTCCTCTTTTTCTTTCTCAAGCTAAAAGTATCAAATTAAAGATGTATATTGCCCATTTACTTCAATTAGATATTATATAAGCTTACATCTTGACGCGTAATGTCCAAATGATCAGCGTAATTCTTGCATTTATTTTGCGCTTGACAAAGATCGATATCTTTCAATGCTAATATCTTTTTGATCTCTTCCAATTCCTCACTTAGTTTGTCCACTAAATCACGAAGACGGACTACTTCATTTTCTACTTCTTCAATCTTAGAACGATGATCTTTTTCCTAAATGAAAAACAATTTTTATGAAGAATTTTTACACATATTTTTAATAAAATTTATTTCAAATAAAAAAGGATTACCATAATCATTAATGATTCTTGTAAATCAGCTTCTCGTTTTGTTGTAGATATTAATTGTTCTTGAACTTTATTGAGCTCTTCAGCCATTTGATGACAATTGTCTTCTGTCTGGCGCAATTTTACCCGTGCCTCTTTCAGCTAAATAAGATTTTAAAAAGTAATAAAATATTCATCTTTTTTGTAACAAAAATATATAAGCTATTATATATACATTACCCTTTCTTTCAATTGTAAAGTATCTTCTTTGATTTGAGCTTGTATAATGTCATTTTGATTCTTTAATATAGAATTTTCATTCTAAAGCAGATGTGATAAAATCTCAATACATGTAAATCGTTTTCTATTATATTTTTACTAGATATCAACACAATTACCTACATACCTTAAGTAATTCATAATCGGCTTGCAATTTTACCATGTTTTCCGATTTCTCTTGAAGTAAAATTTTCAGAGAATATATTCGATCACATAGAATAGTTAGCTCCGATATATTCAGTTCAGATAAATTTTCCGTTTGTTGATCATTCATGAGTAACTTTTTCCTAAGATTTTCAACTTCATGAGATTGATTTTTAATAATTTCTTTGCTATTCATGACTCGATCGTTTAACATATTGATCTATAAATTTTTGAAATTATATATAATCAATTCACTTTGAAAAATGGATATCCATCAAATTTTGATTTCATAACGATAAGAGAATAATTTAAAAATAAAAAAATAGAGTTTAAATGTCATCACCTCTTTTTTTCCATTTTCTAATTTCAACAAAAGTTCTTCATATTCAGTTTCCTTTTGCTCTATTTTCTTCATTAGATTTTCAGTTTCTGATACGTGATGCTGTAGATTAATTTGAAGTTGCTGATTTTCGTATCTTAAATCGCACTCTGTATGCTTCACCTTTTGTAATTCTGCTTTTAATTCTTGTATCTGAGTGATATTCTTCATTTCTGCTTCTTTAACTAAAATTTTAATTAATTTGCATTTATAAATTTATATTCTTTTTGAAAAGCTTAGGTTTCGTCTTATACACGTCTTATACACGTTACCAGAATGTTTTTCCATATGCGATATTTCATATGTAGTATTATTCGAGTACTCCAAATCTTGAGTATCGCAGTTTTTGTCTTCAAGATATATTGCGCACGATCTGTTTGTGCATTTACTTTTGGAGCAATCCTTCGTCTGCATAAAATTATCCATCTGTAACAAAATACATTTATATATATATATATATA